TTTCCCAAAAGTTATGAGAGTTTGCACACAGGATAAAGCACCTATGGATATGCACAGTATTCCTGTGAAAATCTGAAAAATTTTACACAATCAAGGAAAATAATATTCAGGAAATAACCTCTTGTCTGTGACGCGATTTTAAGTGTAAGTTGAAATAAGGTGCATTTGTTAAAGTAACTGGTCGTGACGTTCAAAGACTGTTATTGGTAGGTACTCCCAATAAAATGTTGACGCACTGGTAGAATGCATCTTAGGTACTTACGGTATATTGGTAACATTTTTCAAATAGCCTCAAATGGGCGAAGAACATCTTGTAAACCTTAACAACCTTCATCACATCCGCTTTCCCTTGTATATTTACTAGATCATTGTGTTTACTTTTCCAAAAAAATCCATTGAAAAATAACAAGTCTGGAATATATTCGATCCTAACTCTGAGGGCTTTCATCAACGCCACGTTCATGTATCGCGCCCTCAGGTTTAAAAAAGTGGAGTGGGTCAATAAATAGTTGACATCGTAAAATACGATAAATTCCCACGATCATTGTGTTTACTTTTCCAAAAAAATCCATTGAAAAATAACAAGTCTGGAATATATTCGATCCTAACTCTGAGGGCTTTCATCAACGCCACGTTCATGTATCGCGCCCTCAGGTTTAAAAAAGTGGAGTGGGTCAATAAATAGTTGACATCGTAAAATACGATAAATTCCCACGAGAAAAAGAGGTGCCCCATCACATGCACAAAAATTGTAACATCATATATGAACCACACGACTGTAAGTACTAAAAGCTGGAAAATAAACACCAGTAGACTCATAGCAGAATAAGCTGTGTCAGCTATGTCTCTCATGAATCTGGTCTCCTTTATTCCCAACAACACATCGATTTCACAACTGTGCTCGATCATCTTCACCATATTGGATTTATTTCCAAAAGTGATATTTATCACGAACAAGTAAACTATTATCGATACTTCCATAGATATTACAACTTCTGGGTATGAAACAACTTTGGCTTGGATCGCTGTCGCATACATCACGTGGGTCATGACAACAATGCTGATTGTAAGCACGAAAACACCATAAACAACAGAACTGAAAGTTTTTTCAACGATTCGGTTATTTCTTATACTAAATCTTCCATATCCCGATGCTCGTAATACCCAATATTTGTATTTTTGAAATGTTTTGACGTATTCTCGAATTAACTCAATTTTGTCATTGTTTTCCATCGGGATATTTTGTTTCGTGCTGATGCACCGGTTCTTGGCTGGAGTTTCCTGTCTCTTCAAGTAACAGTGTAGGAGTGTTTGTCACCAACGATTGCTATCGACCCTAATTCAATTACTTAAGCAATGAATTTGTAATAAACTTAAGTAAGTAATCCAACGTGATTGTAAATTGCCGTTAAATATTTAACAGGAGAAACAATTATAAGTAGATTTCGATTGAAATCGGGATTTCCTGCCCGATAACTTTTTACTAATACACTAACAACATACCTACTAAGTTTTATTTCTGAAGCTGTTTGTTTGCATTGTTTCTTAACTTTGATGATCTTACAAAGTCAAAGTCAAAGTCAAAATTTCTTTATTTGTTTANGAAACACCCTGTATAAGTATTTTATCAATTTTATCAATACAATAATTCTTCATAGTGCGTTCATTAATAAATAGATGTAAACTTGTTTGTTATTACTTATTACCTAGTGATAGTCCGTGGGTTCGAACTTCGATGCCATAGGCATAACATTACATATTATTTACCCATTTAAATAATATAATAATTTTCCTGAAACCTCATCACAACCGGCAATATAGTAAAGTTTCCACTGTTTCCCCTGTTTCATCAGGCATTGATATTTGAATCTGTGCAGTAATATAAATCAAAGTAGAGGCTGCTAGGCGCAACGTCGCTCCAGGATCGAAGAAAAACAAACCATACCTATATGGAGGTGCGCGCAACCCTGACCTCAAGTGCGCGCAATATAGGCTTCGTGAACTTGTATACTGCTTCTGAAAAGTAATAAAAATACAATAACTCATAAATTATTTTCTTATAAAATTCGTTTGTCACCAACGATTGCTATCGACCCTAATTCAATTACTTAAGCAATGCATTTGTAATAAACTAAAGTAAGTAATCCAACGTGATTGTAAATTGCCGTTAAATATTGAACAGGAGAAATAATTATAAATAGATTTCGATTGTAATCGGGATTTCCTGCCCGATAACTTTTTACTAATTCACTAACAGCATAGGTACCTACTAAGTTTTATTTCTGAAGCTGTTTGTTTGCATTGTTTCTTAACTTTGATGATCTTACATCTCACTCACATCACAGTGGGAATGCTGCTATCCTTCTTCAGCATACCTCTTCCTCACACAATTCTTGCCTAACCTACTGAAGACCGGTGCGAATTAGGTTTGATATCTAGGTGATAAACAAATGTGACATTGATTTTCATAATCCTGCAAATTTGCGGAAAAGTATTCAGCAGGACGTTTTCAAGCACGTATTTTCTTTTACAAGTACTAGGGTTCTTCAATATCGGACTGTATTCTAAAACCGAGTAAAAGATCTACTTACTCAAAACTATTGTGATTCGTGAACACTCAATCTCTCTCCTATTTTTAATTCTGATAGTGACTTTATTATGTGCCCATACGTGATACACATAAATATGGGATTCTGGTTGACACGTTTTGGGGTAATAGTCCAGTCAATGAATGCCTTAACGACACGGTGTAGAGAGAAATCCGTGGAACACAATTTCTGACCTCGGGACTTTATTTAGCCTAGTTAGGTGGTGAACATAGCAAAAGTCCCCGCCCTTAGCCCTTGAGCCGGCGGGGAGAGGGGGGTTTAAAGGTGCCACTTTTCGGTTTTTCGCTTAATCCTCGGAAACTATGCGTCCTAGTGACATGACTACTTTGAACCAAAAAAAACATATTCAATTTGCTACAGGTGAGATAGACAAGTTTTTCTATAAATTGTATAGTTTTCGCGGCATCTGCTCTAGAAGGTCTGTAATATTGGAAATTTTATTTTGGTCTTACATGTTCCCATCAGGAGAAAATCGACTAAATCAACATTGAGCAATCATTATAGACATGCGGGAGCATGTTAAGCCTTGTTCCTGCGAGGGGACTACACCGTGCGTATATTTAGACGAATCACTTTGAGCCACTTTTGACTCCTCATCACTCAAAAACTACTGTACATTAACACTTCAAATTTGGCTCATGTGTTGAGACTTGAAGATATACATCAGTTTCAAATTTCATTAATATGCCTCAAACGGTTCTTTAGGTATTGACGTTCAAAAATCGATATTTAGAGCACTAAAATCTATCACATTGTGAAATGTTAAAATTTACTGGTTTTTTATTTGTTCCTTTGTATTTACATAACTACCTTTTTGGATGCCAAATTTGAACCTTAGAGGTCATCTGGAAGTGGTTAGAATTTGGTCTATAGGTCAGACATGTAGATTTTTGGACGTCAATATCTAAAGAACCGTTTGAGGCATATTTATGAAATTTGAAACTGATATATGTATATCTTGCAAGTCTCAACACATGAGCCAAATTTGAAGTGTTAATGCACAGTAGTTTTTGAGTGATGAGGAGTAAAAAGTGGCTCAAAGTGATTCGTCTAAATATACGCACGGTGTAGTCCCCTCGCAGGAACTAAGCTTAACATGCTCCCGCATGTCTAGAATGATTGCTCAATGTTGATTTAGTCGATTTTCTCCTGATGGGAACATGTAAGAAAAAAATAAAATTTCTAATATTACAGACCTTCTAGAGCAGATGCCGCGAAAACTATACAATTTATAGAAAAACTTGTCTATCTTGTGTAGCAAATTGAATATGCTTTTTTTGGTTCAAAGTAGCCATGTCACTAGGACGCATAGTTTCCGAGGATTAAGCGAAAAACCGAAAAGTGGCACCTTTAAACCCCCCTCTCCCCGCCGGCTCAAGGGCTAAGGGCGGGGACTTTTGCTATGTTCACCTCCTAACTAGTCTAAATAAAGTCCTGAAGTCAGAAATTGTGTTCTACAGTTTTCCATCTATAATGCTTTATTGACTGGACTATAATGTTTTTAAAGATGTTATGGTCGAATATCTAATGGCACTGCTTTATTGAAAATGTAAAAACTTTGATAGCCTAAGCCTTTGGCTTATTGTTTTTTTTATTGTGTTTAATACTGTATCTCATGTTGATAGCCCAATAAAATTAATAAATAGTTAAATAAAGATAAGAAGTCTGAGTAAAACGTTATTCAAATTTATTAATGCGAGTCATTTCTACTTGTATTTAAGTATCTTAATCTGTAAGTCTAGATATTAGCACGCTACTACCTTGTTTAATATACCACGCAATTTTCTATACCCATTCTTATAAGATACACCATACAAGAATGCGTGGTAAATTCAGTGAACTGCTCCTGAATCAAATGTACCTACTACTGCTTTTTCTATTTAACAGTGGTGTGGTGACTGAGTTTGTTGCGGCGCTTCTTCTCAGCACTTGCCAAATGTTGGTAGGGTAAAAAGTTTATGAGACATGTAGTGTAGAGGCTCCTTAAGAGCAAAATATTTGACGATTTGTAAGCACTATTTAATAGTCTATACAAATAAAGAAATTTTGACTTTGACTTTGACGTGATAAAAGTTGACAAACACGATTGTAAGGATCCGATCCGATTTCAGATGATTCCCTTATTTGATGAATTAAAATCGATGCAAAATATTCCAGTCTCTGATAAAATGTATTTAGGATAACACAGCAGTAGTAGTAGCTGGCTGTAGTATAATCTTATGACTACCTTACAGTGTATTGTGCATCGGGGATTCAAACTCACTTAATAAAAGATATTTACCGTATCATTATAAATCTATGGGGTCGTCAAATAAAAGAAATGAATTATTTTAATCATGATATATTGCTTATCAATACAGAGTAACAAAGAGTTTGTTTCTTAAATATGAAACTAGATTGATGTATCAAAATGCTAGTAAATGCAACAGACAAGTATAAAACAAGGCATTGCGCTATCACACTAATAATGGACCCAATTTTTTTTTGATAAGCCAATATAAAAGTTTCAGATCTATCAAAACTTATCGAATTGTACAAAATATTTATAACATTATATTTTTAATAAATCTCATAAATGCTAATTAGGTACTACTAAATTATGCAGCTAATACATTCTCAAAATTTTACTACTATCTTTCTAAATTTAGACGTATTTACATTTTGTTAAGTATCCACAAGCTTCGCTGTGAAAGCGCAAATGTATCAATTGAGCATCATAGTCTACCCTTTCAGTTCATCGGAAGCTCTTCATCAAGTCGGCCTTGACGTAATAATAACACTATAACAATCGACGCATTAAATAACTCACTTACACAAATAGATAATTCTCACACACACACTCACAGCACAGACAGTAACCGATTGATACTTTAATTTAAATAATATAAATATTTCTAGAAATGCATTTCAACTTGGTACGACATGTCGCCCGAACTCTAGGTTCGTCACACGAATTTATAAATTTCCACATGAATAATACAATAAGTACAAACAAAAGACAAACATAACATTTTTCTATAGTTACATACACATAAAATTGTGACATAATTTGTGTTAATATTTTGTGAGATAATTAGAAGCTAGTATCACTAATACGAGGAAAGAGATTCCTTTTTTCTGGAGTTAGTTCATACCAAAGTGTTTTCTTTGATATTATTCCATGGAGCGGACAATAAGTGTCATCCGATCCATGCCGCTTCGTTTCAAGTCAGCGACGCGCACGCTTTAGCACCATCCTGTTTGTTTCATCCCGATACACACTTAATCTCTTCGTGACCTGGGCTGACTTGAAATGAAACTTACAAACAATTACTAAAATATACTCTACGAACTAGAGCTAAACAGTAAAGTCTAACTTACGAACTAAACTTAAGTGATATCCCGTACCATCACCAAAGATTGCACATAATACCCGATACTTTGATTTTTGCAGTCATGCCTAACGCTTCTAGGCCAGTGGGCTAATTTCACATTGACTGTTAAAAATTAAGGTATTTTTATGGGAACAAAAGGTGGATAGTTACGTAGTTTAACTTTTAACCGTTCAAAAATATGTCACAGTTTGAAATGCGGAATGTCAACATTTATTGGAAGACAAATTGATTTATTGAATTCCGTGTGCATAGTCACAACAATACCTAAATAAGCACTGGGGTACATTCGATTATTTTGATATGATCTACATTTAAACGGACGGAATAAATTCGTAATTAAGTACCTTTCGTTCCATTTGTTTAAAATGGATGAATTGACATCGATTACCGCGATTGGTATATCAAAAGTTTCCATAGTCATGCCAATTGGTTTAATTTAATTAAGGTACTTTTAGTTGTGGACAGGCATGGGTAGCTGTCCTAGGAGTTGGTTCGCGAAGGATGCGTTCGTGAATTTGAAGTGCCTCTTGTCGTAGAACTTGAGCAGCGCCGGGGAGTACGGGTGCTGCTTCTTGAGGTGCATGTAGTGCTCTTCGGGCTCCGACGTGGTGTGACCGCACTCCTCACACACGTACATCTGGAAAGATACAACAATAATGTTAATTCGATGTCACTGGGCAGCTGAATTTTACTTTAACCTAGTTAGTTAATTTAGTGTCGCTACAACTCTCACATGTTTTAAAAGTCTTTAGAATTCTGGCTATCCAAGGATTGATGACTTTATTTGTCCCTTGCCGTCAAAGCATTTAGGTAAACTGTGATAATTTATGCAACTATGATGTTTAAAAAATAAAATTGGATCCTTACCTTTGTCCTTCTCTCCTTGTACGCATAAGTATGTTGAACACCGTGAACCTTCAAACAGTGTGATTCCAAGGAACATCTTTGGGTGAAAGACTTCTCGCAGAGGTTGCATTTGTAGGGCCTGACTCCAGTATGCGTCCTGGTGTGTCGTTTCAAGTCAAATGTGTCGTTGAAACCCTTGCCACAGAACGTGCAAAGGTATCGCTTCACATCCGAGTGGCATTTCATATGCCGGTTTAAAAGCCTCTGTAAACTGAAGTTCTTCGAGCAAATCCTGCAGACAAACTTCGTGGGATCATCCTCACTGACTAAAACTTGTTTGTTTTTCTCCTCTTCCCTCTGCCGTGCGTTGGCTTCAGTTGCCAGCGGATTCTTTACGCCGTGTCCGCCGTTGATAAATTCCAATGGCAGTTCTGCTGGTAGTCCCAACTGTAAAGAAGGAAACAGATCATTAGTGATGCTATTTTTTATCTCAAAAATAATTTATAACTTTAATAAATGACTTGAAAATGAAATTAGACATGTAAACTCATCATTAAATCTATAAGGCTGAGCTTAATGCTGCTAAAGTAATAATAAAGTCATTTAAACAGAAAAAGGGATACAAGAAAGCATAAGTTGATTCAGGCTCAGCGTTACACAATAACGACTTTCATTGTTTAACTTCGATGTCGTCTTTCTGATTCAAATATAATTGAATATTGACGACATTGAAGAAGAAAAACGAATCAAAGCTTCGCCTTAAAATCAAGTAATGCTTACCCTTTGTTGTAAGATTTGGAATTTGCTATCTCCAGAGCCCTTCTTCAAACTTACAGCGGCGGCAGGACTTAATGATGCGTTCTCGATGTGGTTGCTGCCATCCAGAGAGTTGTTTCCGCCGGGTGACGGCAGGGACACGCCCGTCGGCGAGTCCAAGTCCAAGGAATGGTTGCTTGTAGAGAAAGGAAAGCCAGGCGATAGAATCTGTGGCCTTTGCTGGAACTGGACATGGATTTGCAACTGCTGCATTTGACCTTCGTTGTGTTGTAAAAGTGCTGGGTTAAGCTGCATCAGTAAATCTGGCCGCTCTTTTGAGAAATTATAGGATGGACTTTGTTCTTGGCTGGCGAATGCCAAATAATTCGCCTTTTCATAATACTGTCTACTTAACGATACTTGCTCTGCGAGTGTTGTTTCAATATCCACTTGGTTGTGAACTGAATCAGGCGTTATTGATGATGATTCTCGTAAATCTGAATCGGTTATAGATTCTACGTGATTGTTTAGTAAGCTTGCGAAATCTTCCGTAGAGTCAGATAAATTTCCTAAAATAGTTTCGTTTGCACCGGAGAAGGTTAGTGTTGTTGAAAATTGGTAGTTGTCTATTACGTCATCACCCATGTCAACCACCATAGAATCATCAAAATTACTTCCATAGCTGCCTATTCCTCCTAAGTTTTCTAATTTATTCTCATAATCTATTTCTTCGTCCTTTAGAGCAAGGCCGTAATGGGCATTTTGCATTAAAGAATACTGTTTACTCTGCTCTGTGAAGTTTGTGGCATTTTCATTATTTTCGCAGTCCATATTGAATCCATTGATAATATTAAATTCGTTTGAGAATGTGCTATTGGCGTTAAACGAATTCTGACCTCCCTTAGAGGATGGCCCAAGAGTTTCGTAAAATGGAGGAAGACTGCCTGTTGGTGGGCTGTTGGGTCCGTAATTTGATCTTCCATCACGGCCGTTGCCTCCGCTTCCAGAGCCACCGCCAATAGCACCACCACCTCCTGATGATGGCGCAGTGCTGCCACCACCTGAGCTGAAACTGCCGGAACCCCCACTACTCTGAGATCCGCCATTAGATCCACTGCCACCAGTTGAACGTCCGTGGCCTGCAGCGGCGTTCAATATCCCAGGAACTTTATTCGCTGGACAATTTCTTAGCACAAGAACAGGTCTAGCTAAAATTCCATTAGCAATTTTTGAACTGCTAGTTCTCCTTTGCTCTCTAATTTTCTTTTCGGTTTCTTCATCCTCAGTTTCTCCTCGTTTCTTTGCTATTACATAGTCTATCGGTTGATCTTGTTCAGGTTCGGGCGTAGGAAGAGTTGCTGGTAAACTCACATCAGATATTTCTTTTTTATTATCACGGAATTGTGATTGTGAAGGTGTTCTTTGTATAACTGAAACCTTTTGACACGTTACGTTGTTATCAATTCCTGGGGAAGGCGCAGATTCAGGTGATGGTGAGTTTCGAGTTGGAAGTACAACCGGTTCACTATCAAGGGAATCTTTCTCTTCCTTGATAAGTGGACGATCTTCAGTTTTTTTCTCTTCTACAACCACAGGCAAGTATTGTTTACGCTCTGCCTGCGTTAGAACATGTCCTCTGTGGCTTCCGTATGGAATGTCTCCTCCAAGAATAGAAGATATGAATCTTCTAGGTTCTTTTGAGCGTTTGTCGTGAGGGCTTCTTCTTTCTCCGAATACATCTCGATCTGGAACCAATAAAATATTTTGTTTAATTTATTGAAAGTAATTTAAAGTAAAGAATAGAGTAAAAATATTTGATGAGTGCCTATAACAACAGTGCCAAGTCAATATTTATTATTTATATAAACTCCCACGAAAAGTCAAAATTCAAAAGATTGTCTTAAACAATAAGTTAGGTGGTTTATGCTATATTTTGTCCTCGACTTATTACTAACGTATTCGTGCGGCGTCGGAGGCATGAAGCCTCGTTGACGTCACTGGTATGTGCCTCCATAACGGTAACACTCGCCTCCGCACACACGCCCACGGTTCAATGTGTGTAGTGTTATTGTAATTGGCGCGACAGCAGCAAAGTGACAAATTCAATCTCGACCTAAATCTGCTAACCATTGATGCCGCAGTTTACTCATTCAGTCACTGTTGAACACTTCCTGCTTGGCGGTAATAATGATTGCCACGCAACTATAGAGCCCAATATCAATGTCAAACTTTTCCATCTAGCTACTACGATACATGCCTAAAATAAGGATAACAAACAAGTGTCCTACGGGATTATGCAATAACGAAACAAGAGTGAATGTAGCGTGAAATTCAAGGAAGACAAAATTATGTTACAAAAAACCCTATTATAGCGAAATGTGCGTAGGTAGTCAGTGAAAGTCCCAAGGTTGGCCCAAACGAGTTCCTTTGCCCTTTCTCGGCTTTTGTTAGGTACCCAAGGACGAGCCTGCATTGTTGGGGCGCTTTTTTGTCCGGTCCCGTAATTGTATGCGACTGCGCAGCGGGCGTGACGGACCGCGGACTCTAATTTTGAATTTCTTCGTCCATAGTGCACCGTTCATTTTTACAAAAAGTACCATTAAGAAACATTTCTAGAGATGTTTATAGCAGCACTTAAAGACTTAAAACTGGCGCATAAAAATTGCATGTTTACTTTGTACGTTTCGAGTTCTCGGAAACTTTTGGCGGACGAGTTTATGGACAGGGTTATGGACCGTCTGAGTCAAGATTTGGAATATTAATATGTATATTTAGGACACTTAATGTGGAAACGTCTCTAGACCATTTTTGTGTTTTAAGCCAAACATACACGAGATATTTTAACTACACGGGTCTGCCACTTCATTGTTCAGACAGAAACTGATTAGCATACTGTTATTAATATTTACACGAACATCGATCCCCTGTTTGCGGAGGTTCATTGGCAACCCTTGAACCGATAGTTCAAGTGTATTTGTAGCCAAACATCTACAATTTTTGAACTTGTTAAGATTTTTGGGAAAACATATTAATATTAGCTAGAGTCACTACAGTACTTACCATATACTTTTATAATTGGATTGTAATTATGTGGTCATGTTTTGTAAAAACTTCCTATAAAGATAAGCGTACAGAGTAAGTAGGTTCCCATTGTTTTCGCTAAAGGTCGTTTTAACCAGTAGAATTTCATCCAGCAAATTGGATTTATGTAATTGCATATAGAATTTATAAACTGTTAAAGCATATGCTCAATATATTTGTACTACATAACAGGTGTACGTGCTCTGTTCCATAACTACGCTTTTATCTTTCGTATAAAAACTATAATTGCGCAGCTAGGGTACTAAAATTAAATGTTGATTTTATTAGTCGCCAAAGTTTTGATTAATTCTATCTATAAAAGCGTAGTAGGTATGTTAGACAACAAATTACCGCTTGAGCACTAGACGTTATTCATAGGGAAGCTGCTGTGTGATTGATTTTTATCTTGTCAAAGCTCTGATTGTTAAATGATTACCTATTCTTAGAGTTCAAACCTGTTTTTCACTTATGACACTTATTACAAAATATCATCATTAAGTAATTAGGTACAAAATTATTTTGTCGCCAAGCAATTAAAACACGATAATTAAAACAACAATATTCGGTCGTTTACGTTATATTTGCAGTAGTATTAAAATAGTGTCGATGAAGTTAAAATATCCGCGAAATGCAGTTGTTAAACGGCGCTGTGTTGACACATGACGAATTAACGGACGAGTTGTTTCGTAAACATTTATTTTTGATAATTAAATATTAATAAAAATTCTGAGTGATTATGCGCATGAAGCGTAAAATGCCACAGGTAGACTTTTTATTCTGTCGGTAACGTCGTTCGTGCCTGACATTTGGAAACCAGACTAAGGTTCATAATTAATATTCCCCGGGCGACAGTGGCGGGCCAACGGCGCACTTAAGAATTCTAATGAGAAATTCGTTCATGGTGCCATTGAGTATCGGAGAACAAGCCAATTTTAACTTATAGCGATTAGTTTAAGTTGCATTTTGCATTAGAAGATTTACTACAATCTTGGAGTAGGCGCCAGCGCTGCATCGCCAAGAGACAATAGAAAATTGTATCCTAAATTACTTCAAAAAGGGATGCACCATCTTACTTTAACTTTAAGAAATGGTTAAAACCTGTCAAACTCCATACATGCACCGGTTAACGTTATATTTACCGTTAAAGTTAGGTGCAATTCAGCCTAACAGTGTATTAACTACTATCACAGATATTAAAATACTAGTCCACTCGTACCTAGTGTAGTAACCTTGTCGAATTGCCAATAAACAAATTTAAGATACATATANTAATGTTGGAGGCGCCAGCGCTGCAGCGCCAAGAGACAATAGAAAATTTCATCCTAATTTACTTAAAAAAGGGTTGCACCATCTCTTTAACTTTAACAAATGTCAAAAATCTGTCAAACTCCATACAAAATGCACCGGTTATCGTTATAGTTACCGTTAAAGTTAGGTGGTACAACTCAGCCTAACAGTGTATTTACCACTATCAGAGATATTAAAATACTAGTCCACTACGTACCTAGTGTAGACTTCGAGAATAAAAACAAAAATGATGTTTTTGTGCTTAGCACGTGTATTAGTTTGTACCTACGCCTACTACTCGTACATTATTCCATCATCTCCTAGCTACATAACAGTATTTGGGTGTAATTTTTGTTTAAGTTGAAAACGACAAAATATTATGAAGCTTACTTGAATACATGTTTTAGAAAAAAATCATAGGTATAAAGCTATGTGCAAAACTGTTCAGATGTTGGCGTCTCTATCTCGTCTGCCCTTTGACTCAAAATTATGAGTACAGATAGTTTATTAATATAAAACATATTCAAATACTCAGTTATGCCGTTAAGATAAAATAGTCCCCCGTGACAGTTCAACTTCTTAACTTAACATCTAGGCAGACATGATCTAAAATTAATTCTCAAATTAAATTCAACTTGTTGTCCAACATAACTTTTAGTTGTGAGTTTCGCAAGAATATTCTAAAACCCATTGAATCCTATTTAAATAGTGCGGTTTTTATTCTAAAACGGTAAGTCAAGGCCCCGTAATTACCACGTCCATATCTACGAGTATTCAGTTGCCGTTTCCTGCCAAGAAACAACCTTGAATGCGAATGCTCATTATTTGGTCATTAACGGCTGCCTTCTTAGCATCACTTTTTGGCAATAATTAGTGAATCTATAGCGCCGTCCGTCTGCTACAAAGCAATCTTAATGCTATTCTAATAAAACTCGAAATAGCACAACATGTTCGAAGCCTAATTTAGAGTTAGTGTATTCCGCTAAATGCTACAGTTTTGTTTTGCAAAAACATATGGAAATGTATTATGTATACGGTACTCGTCACTATAAGCATATATCTATTCAGTGCTAATACGGAACGGAATGAAGGTCGAAAAATTTTAGCACCAAGTTAACTTAATATCACATTTAAAAGTAATCAAATACAATTAATCGATTTGGTAACAACAAGGTAATTATTGAATAACAATTGCCTTGTTGTGTGGGACATTAGTAACATTGGCGCATTCTGCGGCCTGCAAGTAATGCTAGTGTTCCTAGCAATTATCGATACATTAATCACTGGTTAAACGTTATTATAATACGCCAAAATGATTAATTATGGCTTGTCTATCGAACAATGTTACGAATTAGTACGCACATTGCCATGCGCTAAACCTTGCAAGTCACTCTACTCTCGGCTGTTTCAATCTATGCACTATTTCCAGTTATTACTAGTGTAATATCATAAGAACAAGATCCCATTATACTAAATTATTGCAATGGTTGAGATCATTTGGACTTTTAAATTAAACTTTTTGTTTTTGAAGCAAAATATATCAGATAGACGGCAAATATATTATAATGCATAATAAAGAGGCGGCAGTAAAACTGGCCCGAGGCATTAAAAACTAGCATGCTCGGGCGGAGCGGGCTGTCCTTGCCGGGGTTATCGGACGCTGTTAGCATTTAACGCGTTATAAACGTAAGACAGCTATGAAGAACCGCTGCGGACAGAGACCACATAAAATTCCGTTGAAGCCTTTTTTCTGGCGTGAGTACCAACGGCCCGTAGGTACGGGAGCGCGTGCGCCGAGCATCGGTTAAAAGGTCGATCAAGGACAAGTTTTTGTTCATTATTTATCGGTGTCCGGCACTTCGGTCACATCTGGGCTCAATTCGGAACACATGTACTCTCAAACGGTTTCCTGCTACAGACGACGTCAGCTGAAATCTAAGAGCTTTTTTCAATTACGGAAAATGAGTTGCGTTAGTCTGTTACGGAGCAATGGAGGTCAGTAGATCGACAATGCTATTGTTTAGCCGAAAATCCTTTGTTGCAATCACACATTCGTTATCTGGTCGCGAGGTTGAGCCAGTGCCTTCCTACGCCCGCTCCGCCTACCGAATGTAATTGCTTAGCCTTCCGTATTTTCAACGCCCGTGGTGAGCGGCAAAAAACGGTGATTCTAATACGTCGCCTCTGAACGAACGGTCGCAAAAACTGTTCAACGCTTTATTATTATTTTGATCACGACGTGAATCACAACCAGATTTGGCGAGGGTTAATGACCCAAATATGCTTAGCGAAGTGTTCAAGGCTAACACCGACTACTTCGGCAGTTGATAGAAAAAAATCTGTATCTATGAAGGCGATCGGTTGGCTGGTTTTCCTC